AAACGTGAATGCCACACAAAAGTTTGCGGACTCCCCAAATGTTTGCTTTAGCATTTCATAGGTTTCCGTAGCGGTTTTGGCGAGTCTTTGGCAAAATTTGATTTGTTCATGAAAATCCGCCATTCCGAAATCGCAGGAGGGTCGGTGTAATGCACTACCAAAACGCCCGTAACTAAGAAACAAATGCTAATTCGATGATGCCGGCTGGCACACTGATTCACTATGAATGTAGGCCGCACCCCCTAGCGGCAGAAGCTCGTACTACATCCGGTTCGCCCTCTATTGACACAGTCTTGAGACTTTCCGATCGCACCTCGTATGTAAGTTGTAGGCAAGGGGTGACTTTTACGCAATTGATAGAAAAGGAAGAAATAAAGATATTGGTTTGTAGTTTTATTCCTACATGTGATATGTAAATTAAGTCAGGTGTTTAACTCAGATTAACTTGCAGTGTCAATGACTGAAACATGTGCGTACTAACATCTGTATAAGTTGTCTGGAACGTTTTTTATGTTGTTCAGCTTCAACTCATGTGAAGTTTGAGATGGTAGAATCTGATTAAAAGGAGGTGATAGATAGTGATTAATGTTTATCCAAAGCATTTTGCTTGGAGAGTAATGATGGGGTGGGTAGTGTTACTGTCATCTTAACTTATTAACAAGTGACCGTGTCTTTCACAGTCAGTACCCAAATATTTTCTTTAGTAAAAGAAAGAAGCAATGAAATAAAACACTTTGTCATTGTTATTGGTCCAAGAAACTGGCAAGGAAGTTAGTGCCAGTTGCTTTAGAGTAATGAGAGCCTCAATTTTGTTTACTGGACAGCTGTGCGTTTTGTTTAGTTTGATGTCGGGATTATAATTTGGGAGGAAAAATTTTAATTTGGCACATCAAAAAGAGAATCAGAGTAAAAGCTAAAGAATCGAGGATTTTGTATGATTTGAGGTTTTCACAGCGGTGGGTATGAAGATTTCTGCCTTCTGGGATGTTGCGCCGTGTAGTCTGGTCGATGTTAACCAACGTTTCGGAGGTCATACTGCCTCCGTCATCAGGGCGATGAGTATGAAGATTTCTGTCTTCTCGGTTGTTGCGCCGTGTAGTCTGGTCGATGTTAACCAACGTTTCGGAGGTCATACTGCCTCCGTCATCAGGGCGATGAGTATGAAGATTTCTGTCTTCTCGGTTGTTGCGCCGTGTAGTCTGGTCGATGTTAACCAACGTTTCGGAGGTCATACTGCCTCCGTCATCAGGGCGATGAGTATGAAGATTTCTGTCTTCTCGGTTGTTGCGCCGTGTAGTCTGGTCGATGTTAACCAACGTTTCGGAGGTCATACTGCCTCCGTCATCAGGGCGATGAGTATGAAGATTTCTGTCTTCTCGGTTGTTGCGCCGTGTAGTCTGGTCGATGTTAACCAACGTTTCGGAGGTCATACTGCCTCCGTCATCAGGGCGATGAGTATGAAGATTTCTGTCTTCTCGGTTGTTGCGCCGTGTAGTCTGGTCGATGTTAACCAACGTTTCGGAGGTCATACTGCCTCCGTCATCAGGGCGATGAATTCATCGACGCTCGAAACGATGTCGGACTGTTAACGACCGTGAACCTGAAACTTCTTTACTAATTATTTTTCTGTTACGACATTTCTTTGGTTTTCAATGAGAAAAGATACATCGCGTGTAAAGGAGAATGCGATAATGGTGATAAACCTATAGGAAGCTCAGAAAGTCGTTTTAGAATAGAATATTTTAACGTAATGGTAAATCAAACCAAGTTTACATACCTGGTTGGAACCGTTTTCAGAATTTGTTGTTGAATTTGGTTTTGTTTTTGTTTTGTCAAACCCGAAGAAATGCCTTAGAAAAAACTTTTTAAACATTGACAAGATTTTAAAACTGACTTATCTTTAGGAGACGTCTGTGAAATCAGTTGTTACGAGCTGTTTGACTACTTGCAAGTTTTTAAGTTCAATAATTCCTTGTCATGTTTTTATAAGTTACGCGGCATTTCTTTGGAAAGCTGTGTTCCCAGAAAATGTACGTGATTAACCTGAAAATTTTCACCGGCCCTAAAAATATCTTTCTGTGGAATTGAATGAATCCAAGATTTCTGATTGATCCAGCGCTGAAGCTACGTCATTCTCAGTCCAAAAAGCGGCCAATTCCGTCAGTCGCCTTTGTGACATTCTTGCACGAAAGTTGGTCGTTATCAGTTTTAGCCTCGAGAAGTTTCTCTTATCAGATGCAGTGATAACAATAACAGTATAATAACTTTTCGATACATTTCATTCACCGAACAGCGAATTTAAACATGTTTCTTATATCAGAAATATAAACTATTTTTAAAAATTATAATTGCGGCCTAACCTAACTTTCTGGCCGTGGTATTATGTCATTATTGCAGTAATTACCCTCGTTAGGATTTATCATCATAATAAAATTTGTTATTTTAACAATACGAGCCATGTAATTTGTTAGATTAGTAAGAAGGTACGTGTTGGTCGAAACGCAAACTGTAGAAGTGCTTCGGGCCACAGGTTCGTACTTCCGGTATGGTAATTACATGAGATAAAAGAATGTGAACATTATATATGAATTATGTGTAAATAAGTAAATTAATGTTATATTTATTATTGCTTTAATTAAATTTAAACACGGGTGCATTATTTTACTATTTCAGTTTGTAAGAGTGCGAATTCAGTAACTAAAAGTTGTTATTAAATGTATAAATCGTAACGTTTATATGTGTATATGCTATTAATGAGACTCGTTACTCTTCATGTCTGCAATTTATCACATTCAGGAACCATATATGTTGTAGGTGGCATCATAATATCTTCCGAACGTTCATCAGTTGGAGAAGCTCGCTGTTTTGTATTATTTATGTTCGTGATGGAAAGGGTTTGCTCACATGTTTATGTACTTTCATATAAACATAGGACTTGCAGAGCAGAATCTCCTAAGTCTTTTTAACTTCGTCGCATCCAAGGCACTGTAAAACTGGAAGGCTGCTTCCCCTACGTTTATTTCGGTAAACAGACGAGCTCTGAAGTTCAGTAACCTCCATCTGCAGATTAATCTGGAGTTCTTCTGCATCCGATGAGAAGGGGCCTTCAATTAACCTCAAGAACGTATCTTCTTCTTTGGAAAATGTCTCGTTTCAAACTTTTAGATTAATAGTTTGATATCATTCGAATATCTTTTCACTAGCTCACCATGATTGTAAGTAGGAAAATGACTCATTTATCCTCTGGACAGTTAACTTTTAAACAGTTGCAACTTAATTTTGAAGAATTTGAGTGCTGTTGTCATTTCAAATGTAAGTTTAACTTTTCATTGAAGCTCAAAATTAAGCTGATTTAAGTGATATGTAATGTCATAAATGAAACACGGATAATTTTTCAACTTCGTAATACATTGGATTTTTATTATATTCTTACCAGCGTATTTTTACACAACAGTCGCTTCACTAACATTTTTGATTCGTACAGATGGAGCGCCATCGGTACAAACGGCCATTAAGTTGTCAAATGTAAGACCTAACTTTTCAGTCACACACTTGATGACTTTATATGCAGTTTCTTTCTCGGTTACTCGGCCCACCATAGAACACAAACCAATCACTTCCTCGGTTGCTATGAAGTTTTCATCAGTGACGCGAATGAAAATTGACAGTTGCTCAGTGTCTGTTCAATCATTACTCTCATCCATAGCCAAAGAGTAATATTTAAATTTCTCAGTTTTCCCCCGTAATTGATTACCGAGGTTGTTGGCAATATCGACCACTCCTCGTAGTATTGGCACACGTGAAAAATTGATATTCTCACGAACATTTTTTTTTCTTGTCGGGATAGATTTCAAAAACTGAGATTAATAAACACTTTTCCCCCAAACTCGGCTTCAGATCAGTGGCCATCTTGTAGTGTACTTTAGGCGTGTTTTGAGCTTGCGGAACGCCAACGAAAATCCCTTAGTCCGCGTGTAGCATTTCGATAATTGCTGAACGGGATTTCACGAAATTTGTCGATATATTTCAATTCTTTGTGCCGATGTAACTAGGTTGGTAATTTCTCGCCGAGTGATTCTGTCGTCATTGGCATTGGTCTCATTCTGACGAACGCGCCAGAATTGTTACTCCATGTCTGAAGACAGCATTAGCTTATTTCCCGTGATATTGCGTCGTTTAGAGGGAATTATTCTAACACATTCCGAATCAGGAGTTTAGTTCACAGGTAGTCTTAATTTCATATCTCATGACTGGCGCTTTGTCATCTATTCGATGCAATAGCAAGTGACAAATGTGAGGGTAATTGTGAAAGTAGAATGTGCACGAAGAGCCGTGACAATTTATTGTTCATTTTGGGATTGATTTTGTAGGAATGAGAGAAACCTTAAAAAGGAAACACTGTTCCGGTTAGGATTCTAACTGTATGCCTGTAACTGATCCCATAAAGCAGAGTTCTCAAGACTCCTCAGCCAAGCAATTTAAGAGCCCAATATCTGATCAGGCACTATACTGATATCGGAATAAATAAACCTAGTTTAATTTCTGTCTTAATTTATGTATTGGTTATTGTTTTAATTTGGATTTGAGTGGTTTCGTACTGGTTTCCCAAATATAAACACTCGACAGACGAATTTAAACATTACATGATTGTAATCTGGATGCAAACAAAGACATATCTGACAATGTAAGATTTTAGTTGGGATTTCCGTAGTTTATTCTGCTTCGTGCTTCTATCTATTGCAGGTCCTAAGGCGTCCCGAATGAATGTATTCTTCCTGAGAAACAGTTTTTTTCAGTTATATTTATTTAGAGCCTTTTAAGTAGTGTGCAACTTATTCGCGGCTCACAGCCGATAAGCCGAAGTTGCACGTGACAAATAACAATAAGACTATAGTCACAAACTTATATGAAGATACGGTTTCACATTCATGTAATTACATAACAGCGAAACAGGTGGTCTTGCCCACTAGTGCCATCATGGCTCAGAAAGTCTGCGTCACTTCAGAATTATGTTTGGTGCCTTAATGCACTTTTGTAGTACACGGTTTGAAGGACTCCCTCGATGTAGTTCGATCGTTAGTTATAACGTTCGCCAGTTATCTCATTACTCGTTCTCTCGTTTAAATGGAAATGGTATATCTTTGAAGGAACACCACTTGGCCAAATCTGGGCAATTTATCACCATTTTGAATTGGTAATATGAAGAGTCGGGCGTTTCGTCGCCATTGGGTTGAATTTGCAGTGTCTCGGCCGCCAGGCTCTGTGGCAGTGTCTCTTTGTCGCACGTGACTTCTATTTCAAAAGTCAGGACGTCTTGCCAAGTGGTGCATTCGTATATGGCTGGAGTTTTCCACGTCAGTTGATATCCTAATTTTGTAAAGTTGAATTTATAATTTTCTTGTGTGATGTAGTCTAGTCTCTGGACTTTGATGCCCCTGAAATTATAAAACCAGTTTTTATTGCCTTTAATGAATTTTGAAAACTTTATTCACAACCCTCTTAAGCTACATTATAGGACTACGAAAATTAATTGTCACTATTAAATTAACTGTAAATCGTCAAATCCAGACGTCCGTCACATTATCCTTACTTTAGGGAGGTGTTTCTGTATAGGTGCTTAATAAGGTGCCACACGCCATTGAGTCCAAAGGTGAGGTGCATGTGTTTTTCGTCCCACGCCGTCTCCATCAACAAGACACACAACTGGATCGTGTCCGACTGTCGAAACCCGTTGCTTCCTGTAACCGCCCACGGAACACCCATCCAGCAACCGCTGAGGTTGTAAGACTCCCGGTCGCAACGGCTATCCCGATCCGTCGGAACCTGCCCAAAACAATTTTCATTAGGATAGGTAATTCAACTTGGATCACGAGCTAAGTTATGAGGTGGAAGACGCGTGGGTCAGTATGGTTAATAAATGACGTATGGAATAGGTATTGGAAAGATACACAATTAATATCATCACCAACTGTAGAGAATTTGTATTCGGGCTGAGAGACCTTATGTATTTTGCGACATTTAGTGTGGTCTAGCGGGCGGTGAGAACGCTAGCCTTGAAATCCTGGGGTCCCGTGATCGATTCCCGGTGGTGCCCGGATTTACAACTTACGTATGTTGGGCAAGAACGTGATCTAGGCATCACGGAGTTTTCCTCCGCGGCTTCCCCGGTTTCTCCGTGACATCCCAACAATTACTGACAAACCACTTCTGGATCATCTGCCTAGGAAACATATGAACAGGTCCCTGTCATGAAGAGGATGGAAGGATCCTGTTCATAATGTCACTAGGGGTCGACTCCGACCCGACGGTACATGCACATTGTGCGAACAAGCCTAAAGTTCTCAGGAAAGCTGTCAGATTCTGAAATAATATCTATTTCAAATTATAAAGGTCGTATTATATCGTTTAAAGAAAGGGTTAAACGTACCTGAACGAATCGTGTCACCTCTCCTTTGCCATTGAAGCAGATTCTAAGTAATTTTGCTAGCACAATCGCGGGTAAAACTCTGAGGGCAGGGTTCTGCTGTTGTGTAGAATCGCATTTCTTCTCAGTCACCATCTGAATATGCTGTAGGAACTTAAGTACGAGTTTTCCGCATTCAAATAAGGTGCAATATAAGATGCGATAATCGATTACCGGTTTCGTAGGAAGCTGCAGCATAATGGTGTGGTATTCGTCCAGCAGTCTGCCACAGTAAAAAGAACACACCCCGGCAGAAATGCAAGGCAAGACCCAGGCGCGAACAACTCGTAGCCACCATGCAAGACATTCAAACACACTGGAAAAGGATTTCCGTATCGGTAATTCCGTGTGCTCCAATTTTGCCTGCTCCTGGGGTTTTTTTCGCTTTTCATTCGGTTGTTCCTCCAGCGTGGGGAGTAGATAAGATTCAGGTTGCTTCGAAATCTGCTCAATTCCTTTCTGGAATTAAATACATTTGCCATTATTTTGTAGTCGAGACAGACTCGTTATGTTATCTGTAATGGTCTTATAATCTTAGGGAACATTACGAATTGTATTTTCAGATTGCTACGATGTGTTATATGGACCTGAGGGAGATTAAGCACATAACAAATTTGACGTTATTGCATAAGGAGGAAATCTAAAACCACTACGCCTTGACCTACACCCGAACGTAATTATTTCACATCAGAGTGTACAAGTTATATTTCCATAAATGGCATCGCTTTGTTATCTCCCCACCCTCACACATGTTTATTTCTAACGGTAAACGAAGTTTGGAATTCATTTACCCTTCAGTGTACACGGCACATTATGCCAAAAGTCAGCCATCTTCAAGGAGGGACTTTTTTATTCTGTATTCTTGGGGTAATTAACGTCAAGAAGTTGATGGCGTAAAAGATATTGAATCGATTGGAAACATAAAGAAATGCATGTGGAATTTTGATGGAGAAACTTACTGTAAAATTTTCATGTGGAGGATGGATGTATTAATAATTAAGTGAATAATATTGAAGTGGTTCTAACAGACAGAGACTAATAGTACGTTAGTTAGTTAGTTATTCAATGCAAAAGCCTCTGTCGTGTTTGATATGCACATTTAGTCTTACCTGAATTTTGTCGAAGGCAGAGAGAAGCACTCGACTGCAAACGGCGTCGAACCTACGACAGACTTCTCTCAGTCGACCTATTTTTGCATATGTTCCGGTGTAGAGGAATATTTCGGACAGCATTTCTTCCGGAAGATTCTGTATGTTAAAAGAATTGTCGATTGGTGGTGTATCATCTTCGGTCGTAATCTGTTTATTTTTTGCCATGTCGTGTTTTTCGTCGTACGATGACGTCTTCCGTTTCATACTGCGTTTCGTGTGTTCAATCCCTTCTTCGGTCGCAATATTTAGGTATTTTTCTGCTTTCTGTAGTGGTAACTCTTCCCATTTCTCAACGTGTACCTCGCAGTTGAGCGATGTCTTTCGATTCATACCACATCTTAAGGATTTCTGCATCTTTTATTGTCACGTTATCTATTGTGGTTTTACGCAGTTGTATTGAACTCACCAGTTCTTTCGATGTGTGCGACGTATTAACTCAATTTACACGTGTATATATATTGATATATAGCTTTGTAGTGTTATTGAACACTATAGAAAAAACACAAACACAGAAACAAATCGATCGCTTTGAGTTTCTGAATGCGAGTGGACAAAACAATTTTCATTACGAGAGGTAATTCAACTTGGCGGACGAGCTAAGTTATGAGGAGGAAGACGCGTGGGTCAGTATGATTAATAAATGTCGTATGGAATAGGTGGTCCAGCGGGCGGTGAGAACGCTAGCCTTGAATAACTATGAGTTGAATTGTTCGTGGTTGAGATCTCTTCGGTTTTTGGATGGATTGTACTATGTCCGGTCGGAAAATGTTGGGTTTTAGGCGGATCGGAAAAATTTCTGTAAATATTGGTTCTGAAATTTTTTGACGTAAATACATCTATACGGAAGGGTAATTCAGAAAAAACAGCTTCAGGAAGATGACTAAGATCCATACCAACAATGTGTAAATATTTACGGAGAATGGTCAGCTTTTATATGAACTCCTGCGTGCATAACAATGCTTTACTCCTTTACCTAAGAAACTAATTGTTACGTCATCTGATTACTCGGCATTGTTGTGTTACATTACTGCCGTCAACAATCCGCTTTCATTATTGCGGAAAGAGCAGAGCTGTGAATCGCTTGTAGAAGAAGTGCGTCGTAGAGTAGATAATTTTGTGCTGGTAAAAACGTTTTAGAATATCACAAGTACTTATCTTATATAAGATTTATTAAGAGATCTGTGATACTGCCCTCCACTCTCTCCATTTCCGTTTTGATTGAATTGATCATTGCCGGTGGACATCGTGGTCTCTTCCTATTCAACAAAGTTTGAGATATGGGATTCCTATTTATTATTATTGTTCTTCACGTTAAGCGCCCGCCACTCGAAAACCGTAAGAGATGTATTGGGACATATAACGTACAAAATACGTATTATCTCTTGAGCTTTCCATATCTGTTTTCAGATTTTACATATCACAAATGGTTTAGGTTCTAGAAACATTTATTTGTACAAATAAAGGCGCATCGCACACCACGATAGTGCTCCGTTTGTGTGTTGCGTCATACTATGTAGAGATGACAAGATGGATGACATTGAAGCTAAAAGAGACCGTTATGCAGAATATATGAGACAGTACAGAAAACGTAAAAAATATAAGTATTAAATAATGAACCTGAAGTACCCAAAAAAAACAACCATTATCTAATGCTGAACGTATGAGGGAATGTAGAAACCGTAAGCCGCCAACTAATGCACTGTGTATGAGGGAATATTTGGCCACAGAAGGTCGTAATACAATGCCCGTTTTATTGGCAGGAGAGTTTAACATTGATTTAAAGAAGGAGGAAAATCAAAGCTTTGTCACATTTATGGAGGAAACGTTTGGCTTGATGTTGATGTCAAATCCTCAGTGCAGTACTCCTGGATCAAAATCTTGTATAGATATTTTGTTTCCACGAAATGTTGATATTCTAAAGTGTACAAATTTTATAACATATTTCATCTACCGCAGACTCATCTCAAGCGTAACTAATTCAAGTTAAATAAACGATGTCTTAATCAAACTATTTACTCAACTGTAAAGCATGTATGAAGGAAATATTTAGAGTAAAGCTAATATAAAGTACGAGTTTTCCGCATTCAAATAAGGTGCAATATAAGATGCGATAATCGATTACCGGTTTCGTAGGAAGCTGCAGCATAATGGTGTGGTATTCGTCCAGCAGTCTGCCACAGTAAAAAGAACACACCCCGGCAGAAATGCAAGGCAAGACCCAGGCGCGAACAACTCGTAGCCACCATGCAAGGCGTTCAATCACATTGCAAAAGGATTTCCGTATCGATAATTCCGTGTGCTCCAATTCTGCCTGCTCCTGGTGGTTTTTACTCCGTAGTTTCTCCAGCGTGGGGAGTAGATAAGATTCAGGTTGCTTCGAAATCTGCTCAATTCGTTTCTGGAATTAAATACATTTGCCATTATTTTGTAGTCGAGACAGACTCGTTATGTTATCTGTAATGGTCTTATAATCTTAGGGAACATTACGAATTGTATTTTCAGATTGCTACGATGTGTTATATGGACCTGAGGGAGATTAAGCACATAACAAATTTGACGTTATTGCATAAGGAGGAAATCTAAAACCACTACGCCTTGACCTACACCCGAACGTAATTATTTCACATCAGAGTGTACAAGTTATATTTCCATAAATGGTATCGCTTTGTTATCTCCCCACCCTCACACATGTTTATTTCTAACGGTAAACGAAGTTTGGAATTCATTTACCCTTCAGTGTACACGGCACATTATGCCAAAAGTCAGCCATCTTCAAGGAGGGACTTTTTTATTCTGTATTCTTGGGGTAATTAACGTCAAGAAGTTGATGGCGTAAAAGATATTGAATCGATTGGAAACATAAAGAAATGCATGTGGAATTTTGATGGAGAAACTTACTGTAAAATTTTCATGTGGAGGATGGATGTATTAATAATTAAGTGAATAATATTGAAGTGGTTCTAACAGACAGAGACTAATAGTACGTTAGTTAGTTAGTTATTCAATGCAAAAGCCTCTGTCGTGTTTGATATGCACATTTAGTCTTACCTGAATTTTGTCGAAGGCAGAGAGAAGCACTCGACTGCAAACGGCGTCGAACCTACGACAGACTTCTCTCAGTCGACCTATTTTTGCATATGTTCCGGTGTAGAGGAATATTTCGGACAGCATTTCTTCCGGAAGATTCTGTATGTTAAAAGAATTGTCGATTGGTGGTGTATCATCTTCGGTCGTAATCTGTTTATTTTTTGCCATGTCGTGTTTTTCGTCGTACGATGACGTCTTCCGTTTCATACTGCGTTTCGTGTGTTCAATCCCTTCTTCGGTCGCAATATTTAGGTATTTTTCTGCTTTCTGTAGTGGTAACTCTTCCCATTTCTCAACGTGTACCTCGCAGTTGAGCGATGTCTTTCGATTCATACCACATCTTAAGGATTTCTGCATCTTTTATTGTCACGTTATCTATTGTGGTTTTACGCAGTTGTATTGAACTCACCAGTTCTTTCGATGTGTGCGACGTATTAACTCAATTTACACGTGTATATATATTGATATATAGCTTTGTAGTGTTATTGAACACTATAGAAAAAACACAAACACAGAAACAAATCGATCGCTTTGAGTTTCTGAATGCGAGTGGCTCTTTATTATAGGAGAACTAGTCTACAGTAGCTTCGTCCCATTGTCGTCTGTCGTTCCATTGTTGTGCATAGTTGCAGTGTTGTCCGTCGTCCCATTGTTGTCGATCGGCCCATTGTTGAGTAATCTTACCATCTGTTGACGTTTGTAGACTATTAACTGAACATTTGAAAGAATTGTTAAAATTCAACAATGCGTTGATTTGTTCAGGTTGACAGCTCTTTGGTTTTTGGATGGATTGTACAATGTCTGGTCGCAAAATGTTCGATTTTATGCGGATCGGAAAAATTTCTGTAAATATTGGTTCTGAAATTTTTTGACGTAAATACATCTATACGGAAGGGTAATTCAGAAAAAACAGCTTCAGGAAGATGACTAAGATCCATACCAACAATGTGTAAATATTTACGGAGAATGGTCAGCTTTTATATGAACTCCTGCGTGCATAACAATGCTTTACTCCTTTACCTAAGAAACTAATTGTTACGTCATCTGATTACTCGGCATTGTTGTGTTACATTACTGCCGTCAACAATCCGCTTTCATTATTGCGGAAAGAGCAGAGCTGTGAATCGCTTGTAGAAGAAGTGCGTCGTAGAGTAGATAATTTTGTGCTGGTAAAAACGTTTTAGAATATCACAAGTACTTATCTTATATAAGATTTATTAA